TGGCTTTGGCAAAATCCCTTAGCTCCTGTTTATCCTGGAATGTTTTGATTACACCATGTATTTGATTGATAGCTTTGCTGGATAAAGGATTTTTGGTTGACAATTTTTTTTTTCCTTCAGGGTTTTATATATGTCTCCTCACTGCCTTCTTGCTTGCATAGTTTCTGCTGAGAGATCCAAGCTTAATCTGACTTGCGTGCCTTTGTTTGTAACACTTCTGTTTTCCCTAGCTGCTTTCAGGATTCTCTCCTTATCTTTGATTTTGGAGAGCTTGATTATGATATGTCTTGGTGATTTTCTTTTGGGGTCTATTCTTCCTGGGGTTCATTGAGCTTCTTGAATGTTTATCTTTTCACTCTTCAGGTTGTTAGGGAAATGTTCTTCCAGCACTTTCAGTATATTGTCCATTTCTGATATTCTATTATTAATCGCTTGGACCTCCATCTGTAGGTTTTGAATTGTTTCTAATGCTGTGCCTATCTTACTTGCTTGTTCCTGTAGCACTTTCCTTATTTTTCTCAACTCCATTGTAAAGTGTTTTGAAACATTTTATAATCATTTTTCTGAATTCCTTCTCAGGCATTTCCAAGGCCTGCCCTCCTTCCAGAATGTAGTCCAGGTCTACCTGTAGATCATTTGACTCAGGAATTTTATCTTGTTTCTGGACATGTGCTGATATGGTCATGTTTTTGCTTCTTGGACATGTTTAATGTTTATCTGTGGCCTTAATACTTAACTGAGTGTGCGTTTTGGTATTTTTTATGTTTTCTGATTGCCTCCAGGTAGATGTGATCAGGATGTGGCCTTCTCTTTTCACTGTTCTTATTGCTTAACTCAGAGTAAGTTTCGCAGGTGTTGTCTGCCTCCCTGGTGTTTGGTAGGTGGTATTGCTTCTTGCCTTGATTTTGGTGTTTTATAGAGTTTGATTGTAACTTGACTATATGGCAGCAGTTACTGTCTCTTCTTGGGTAATATAGGGAGAGAAAGAATCCCCCAAAGGTAAAAGGGGGAGCATAAAACAGAAAAACAGCAACAGCAAAAAAACAAGAAAAAAAACCCAACACACTAAAACAACAAAAAGAACTTGTCTATAATCACAGAAAGGGGAGAGGAGGGAGAGAAGAAAAAAAACAAATCTGTAGCCTAATATGAGTATAACTTTAATATCCTCTTTCAGCTTCTTGCCTTCAAGGCCATCTGATAAATTTCAAGATGCCACTGTTGATTGTTAGCTATACCTCAGGATTATTTTTAAACTACTATTCATCTGTCAGTTTGCCATTCTGTAGTAGCTTGCATGTTGCTGTGATGCTAGAAGCTTTGCCACCAGTATTTTAAATACCAGCAGGGTCACCCGTGGTGGACAGGTTTCAGCTGAGCTTCCAGACTAAGACAGAGTAGGAAAAAAGGAGAAACAGATTACTTCTGAATATTTAGCCACAGAAAACTTTATGAATAATAATGGAACACTGTCAGATAGCACCAGAATATTGAATATTGAAATGTGATGAATAGTACCAGAATATGGTCAGAAGTAATACCAGAAGATGAGCCCCTCAGGTTGGAAGGCACATAAAACACAACTGAGGAAGAGCTGCCTCCTCAAAGTAGGATTGACTTCAATGACATGGGATAAAACTTCTGGGATGCTCATTTGCTGATTGAGCACAACTCAAAATGAAGAAAAACAGCTCTAAACATCCATTAATAATCGGAACATGGAATGCATGAAGTTATAGATCTAGGAAAATTGCAAGTTGTTAAAATGAAACGGAATGCATAAAGATCGATATTCTAGACTAGTGAGTTGAAATGGTCTGGTGTTGGCCATTTTGAATCTGTGACAATCTGGTTTACAATCCTGGGAATGACATATTGAAGATGAATGGTGTCACATTCATCATCAAAAAGAGCATTTTAAGATCTATCTTGAAGTATAGTTCTATCTGTGATAGAATACTATCCATACACCTAAAATGAAGACTAGTTAATACCACTATTATTCAAATGTAAGCACCAATCACTGAAGCCAGTGATGATGAAATTAAAGAATTCCACCAGTTTCATTAGTTTGAAATTGATCAAACATACAGTAAGGATGTATTCATAATTACGGGTGATTAGAATGCAAAGGTTGAAACGGAAGGATCAGTAGTTCGAAAATACGCCTTCATGATAGACAGGATGCTGGACACTGAAGCTGCGAGCTAAGCCCTACAACGTTCAATAGACACCTGTGAACCCAGCTGGAGACCTGGTTGGCCAGCAGTGTAGCAAGACCTGGGGACTCTTGAGCCCAGAGTCAGTGACATAGCCACAGA